CGACGTCTCTCTCCTTCAATATTTATCCGATCGAAATAAAACTTTCACAACATTAATACTTCATATAGGCCTATATTCTGACAAAGTTTGAAGGATTTTGAATTTTCTCATTTTACACGTCTTACCTGAATATTACAGACAACCGCTCTTAAGACGAAGATTGACGAGTTGAGCTTATTTTACATAATTTAACATTCAATTTTAATTCCCCCTTGGGAATGTTTATGTTTCGTTTTCCATGCAATTCCCAACGGTGGAAGAATGTGATTTCGACCGGCAATTTTTATTTGACGAGTATGCATGTGGCCATTTAAAACGATTTAAAAAGAGTATCATTGAAAAGCCAACTAACCGCTCTTTCGTCCTACGTAAAAATTGAATTGTTTACCCACGTTTATGATGCACAACAGCCTGTTGAATTTCCATAGCGTTTTTTTAGACACCCTGTATATATGGCTTCTGAACTTTTTATCGTTGTCCATTTACTTAAAACATTACTACACCCGTCCGTAAAAAATCGTCAGAAACGTAATTTATAGTAAACAGAACTATATCTAGGATTTTTAAAAATGTTAATTAAACTTTAATACAAAATAAATTAAAAACTATATGTTTCACTGTTTTTATCACCATCACTAACTGTACCCGACATAAAAGTGGGAAAATAAGGTATAATCTGAATCAGGTGATCATTTTTCAATTTTTTATAAAGGTGTTGCCATGAACATGACAAATGCTACGATAAACTGATGGCTGATGGAAGTGAATGTACAACAAGTGTTGATCCATATATTGTCGACTATAAAATTAGTAAATGTAGTGATTGCGGTAAGATTTTTCGCACAATATTATTCAGCGTTATAAAATTTGAAATTGTATCTCACTTTCTATTTTTTATTAAATTACTATTTCCATGTAAACTTAACGATATCTGTCAATTTATGCCTTACCTCTCCCTGGATAATAAATAGCTATCACGAAATTCTTAACTTGCACAACCTGAGCTCTGTTAGCTACATCACTGAAACACATTATATATATATATATATATATATATATATATATATATATATATATATATATATATATATATATATATATATATATATATATATATATATA